CTGTTGCGTCGTCCCCTTCCTGTGTCCCCTATCCTTTCCACTGTTTCTTCCCCTTTCCCTTTGTCTCCTGTTTCTTCTGCCCTCTCTTCCCCCTTTGTTCGTTCCCCCGTTGCTTCGCGTTCTGTTTCCCCCATCCCCCTGTGTCTGATTTGAGCGTTCGCATTGCTGCCCTTCGTCGTCGCGTTCTTGCTCTTTCGTCATCTTCCCGTCCAGCAGCGGGACCTGCCCTCCCCTGTACCAACCCCCCCTGTGACCCCTTCTCTGCCCCTCCGCGTGTTGTACGCATCCAACCTGGGCTCGCCTTTGTTGGTCGTCCAACCCGGATTCCCGCCCCCGTCTTGCCGCGTTCTCTCTCTGCCCCCATTGTGTGTCCTCGAGGCACACGCCGCTGCGCTGACGTTGTAGACCCTGAGGGGGCTGGTCAGGCTCGTCCTGGTCAGTCCTCTCCTGTCGCCGCATCCCCACTCGACATCAGCGGTGTCCAAAGCGAGGCATCTTCCTGCTCCGGAGGGAAGAGGGTCCGTTTCGCCGCTGCCCGACAAGTCCGAGTTGTCAGCCGCTGGATGCGTCCTGGCATTCACACCTACTGTGCCTCTCCCCAGGAGGTAAGAGTTGGTTGGTGCCAGTGGCTTCATCTCTGCTCTGACAGCGATCACCAAATTCGCGCCGAAAATCTGATCGCCGATCTTGCCGCTGAGGAGCGCAGCTCCAACTCTTTACCCAGAAAGAGTGCCTTGCGTTCCACCACCGACAAGAGCCTGCCAAAGAAGCGAGTCACCTTTCGCGATGCGGTGACCATCAAACATGTCTCGAAGTGGGTGGTGCCTGGAGTTCACTCTGACCTTGGCTAGGCCTGGCCAGTTTAGCCATGTTCAGAATGGCTCCAGGGTGACCAAGGGTCCAGGTTAGTCGCTCGGCCACTCATGCCATTGCCCTGTCTCGCCCTCTCCCCCCTTGCTGTACTTCCGTGCGTGCTGCCCATCTCCCCAGAAAAACAAAAAAACCAAAAAAATCTGTTTCATCCGCAAGTTTGTTTGGCCGCGTTCTGCTTTTTCATGAATCCATTGATACCGCTTACGTTTATAGATCGCATATTTTATCAAGAGGTGGCTCAAGGATCAACTGGTAAGTCGCTTCACCATTCCACTCATCTCATGGGTATCATGCTAACATCGTCTTAGGGGGTCAATCGGACCAAGACTGGAGCGGGGTGGATGGTGGTGGGCGTGTTCCCAATCAAAGGTAAGTAACCCTCCCTCTTCGATCACAGAAGAAAGATGTGGGCTAACCGTTTCCATTTTGAGATTCGGGCCACCGTGTTATTGACACACAAGTCTTCTGGGTTTGTGTGTTGATAATGCGGTGGCCCACACTGTCCACTCGGCTGCAAGGGAGGAATGGTCTGTCAGTGGTAGCGCAACACGAAATGCATCGAGGTAAGTAACTTTGCTTCCCCATCGTGTGCTTTTACTGACGCCTTCATAGACACTTGCATGCATTTTTTTTTTTGGTTTGCATGCCGCTGGAGGATGGTCTGTCCGTGGTAGCGCAGCAGATGCTGCATCGAGGCAAGTAACCCATCCTGATCCTGCCATCCATCGTCAGCATCAATCAGCTAACACTTATGCAGACACCGGAAGCGGCTCGTGGGAGGTTTACCTGTGGTAGTGCGGCAACGGCTGCTTCGAGGTATGTATCGCCTCTCTTCCATTCTCCAAAGCATCATTACTGACCACTGTGACTTGACAGACGGCGCAATCGATACGGAGGGACCATGGTCAGTCTTGTGGTAGCGCAGCAGTGCTGCATCGAGAGTAAGTCAAGCCATCTCCGGACATGAAGTTGAAGAAAAGTCGCGATGTTGTTGGTTTTTGCCTGTTTGAGAAATGTATCACGTGGCTAACATTATATAATCTCACAGCGCCCGAGATTTCCGCTTAGTGGCAGGGTGCGAGCGTGGCGGGATGGCGGGAGCTCAGCCCTAAGGATATAAAGGCATTGAGATATCTAGTTCATCGTTTTGGTCTTTATTCAGTCAATCAAGATGCTATTCTTTCTTCATCTAGTTGCAAGTAATCATACAGTAAACAGTAGCCTGAGAGAAAAGGAGGACAAAAAGATATAGATGGATGATGTACATGAAACAATGATACATGGAATCTACTGACTAGCAGCAAGGGGTAGAGCCCGTAGACGACGGCCCAGAAGCTCTAGCTCGCCGACAATACCACCAGAAGACAGGGCCCACTTCTCGCCAACCAGCTGCCCGTCAACACGCTCTCTCAACAGACCGCTCCGTGCATAGTACTGCAACAAACCAGCAGCCTCATCCTTGGACAGACCACTCAGCTCCAAGTGGCCCAGCCCCTTTGCCTGAGCAAAGAGTGAGACTACACGATCATCGAGTTTGCCGTACATGACAGGGAAATCAGGAGACGATGGGCTGATACCGGCTTGTCGAGCAGCAACCTGCTTGATTCCGAGTTCCAGTGAAGGCAGCCTGAGAGAGTTTGAGGTAGCCGTTGCGTAGAGGACAAGGCCACCGTTTGGAAGTGCCTTCTTAGGCTCCATGCGGGCCAGTGAGAGGAAGTGCTCGACAATCGTAAAGTCATGGGCATGAATAGGCTTGTACTCTGCGCTGCGGTAACTTGTTTCGGCCATCCAGTGAGCGATGTTGTCGACCGTGACTAGGATCTGAGGGCGGGCCTTGAATGGTTTTGTGCCCTTGGTGTTCATTGCTGGTCCGGTTGCCGTAAGCTCGGACCAGAGGGAGCGGAATATCGGCCATGAGAGGTCTGGTTGCTGGATACCAATGTTTGCGAGCTCGAGGAGGGAGAGCCCAGGGTCCTTCACATTGGGGTGTGATCGGGAGATATGCAGCTTCGAGAGCACATCCTGGTTTCCTTCGGCTATGCGTTTGAGAAGGCTCGCGGTGGCATTTTTCTGGAAGTATTTGATTGGTTGTGAGTTAGGGAGAGGAGCATAGGCGGTCGTTCCATTGACCAGATCCCAGGCTAGATGGCATGTTAGCTTTCAGCTCAAGGCTTATGGTGTTGCAAGGGCGGGCACATACCGTCTGGGATTGTGACAACAATCCAGTTCTTCAAGAAAGCCATGGTAGTGGCCTGGAGCAGGTGGACACTCTTCCCCGTACGCTTACCGCCTGTGACAATGCTCATTGCTGCCCCCGGGCCCTTCTCCCTCTCACTAATCTGCTCAATTAATCTACCCAGATCCACTGTCTCCTTCCTAACCACAGTGCAGGGCCGTCTGAATAGATTCCATCCCTGGCTCCTCTTAAAGGCCTCAACAGCTCTTAGCCTATCGACTAAGTTCATCGGCAGGCCAACGACTTGAGTTCTAAGCTCTGGGTCACTAAGGTTGGCCACACTGAGCTCCTGAAGGCCGGTAACTTCCAGCGCATTGTTATTACTTAGCACGATTCGATGGCTCAAAGCTTTGCGTTCCTCTGGGCTTCGTCGAGCTGGTTTGGTTGGCTTGCCCTTTCGGGAGACTCGTGAGCTTCGTGCTTGACGGAATTTAGGTCCGACACTCTGATTCTTCCCTTTCTTGGGTGGTAGAGCATTGAGTGTCGCGCTGGTATGGAAAGAGGAGGAGATGGCTGGTGTACGGAGAAGGGTTAAAGGTTGTGATGGTAGTGAGAGCGCTCGAGACGGGTATACTGGGCGAATGTGGGAAACACATCTCCAGCAACATGAGGAAGCCATCTTCGGGTACACCAGGTTGCTATCTGGCTCGTACCCAATGCCAATGGCTTGCGGGATTCAACCTTGTTGTTCTTTCGCAGAGGAGTTTTTGGCTTCTTGAAATCGTTTTTTTTGAAGAGAGAAAAAGTTATGAAGGGCCGAAAAGGGAAAATATTGACGCCGTTTTAAAAATATCACGTGCTTTATACTGATTGTGAAACTATTTTAAAAGCGGCAAGAAGACCCACTTATTCGGAATTTGATATAAAAAAAGGATAAATTTATCTTTGTACAAGAGTCGCATGTTAGGAATTTAACAATTTGGACATCATGACAGACGTAGCCATGGCGAATTCCACAGCTGAGCCAAAGGCGAAATCCAAGACAAAGCCCGAAAGACTGTATGTGTCCCACCCATCTAGATATATTCATTTTTATCTAACATGCCAATCCAGGCCGATAACAGTCGAAAAGCCCACGCCCTATGTATTCGACCTAGGAAACCTCATGGCCCTAGATGCGAACCCAATTGATCTTCCTCAGTCCGCCAGAACTTCACCGCTAGTATTAAACCAGGCTCTTAAAGCGACAGCTCGCGACGGCGCCCAGTGCCTTGTCAACCAGCTCCTTACCACATGCCCGATAACCACCTCCATGCATGAGGGAGTGCTTCTCACCCTTCCACGCCCAACAACCATGGTACCACGTTTCAAACCACTTCCCACACCCAAACCACCTACCAAATGGGAGCTGTTCGCCCGCAAGAAAGGAATTGGCCAGTATAATACCAAGATTGGTAGTGGCTTAGCCGACACAGAACGAAAGAAGAATCTAGTTTATGATGAAGAGAAGGGTGAGTGGGTGCCCAAGTGGGGATATAAGGGGAAGAACAAGGCGTCTGAGAACGACTGGCTGGTGGAAGTGGATGATTCAAAATGGAAGAAGGAGGAACAAATGAACAAGGAGGGGAAGTCAATTAGAAACGAGGGTAGAAAAGAGCGAATGGAGCGGGCGAGAAGGAACGAGAGAAAGATGAGGGCTAATGAGCGCAAAGCCAGAGCTGGAAAATCGAAATAAGGGACCTACAGGAAGAATGTGGAAGTGGAAAAGTCGACTTGTTAATTTTTGCCGGGTGTTACGGATTCTGATTTTCTGTTTGAATAAATCGCATGGAGTTAAGGAGAGCAATAGCTATATACGTGTAGTATAAAGACTTGAAAAGTAAATGATCAAACTATGTGAACTACAGTACTAAGGAGCTAGCTACTGGATCGAATCATTTCGATTTTTCAGTAGACAGAGAGCAGAAGATCGGATGTTAAATCCAATTATTGAAGTTGCCTAGCAGGAAAGTTGAATAGTCGACAGTCTATTAAATAATATAAAGAGTGGTATTAATTCAAACGGATTTATTCAACTTGTATCAACAAGACAGACGCAGACAGTCGCCAAAATAAAAAGGATAAAGGATTCAAAAAGCAGAGCCAAAATATGAGAACAAGATATGAGTAGAATAGAATGCGCCGAAGATATCAAATCGCTCGATGCGCCGAACCAATGCTTTGCACGTAGAACCAATAAAAGCAAAAACCGCAAAAGTCATCAAAAAACCAGCCGGAGGGGGAAATAAAAAAAAACAAGCGATAAACAAGAAACTCGTTATGAAAAGTAAGGAGTATGGAACGGTGGCGAAGGGGATCATGTTAAGAAGGAGAGATAGGTGCATAGACGTGGAGGTAATAGGTTAGTAAATAGGTATAATCCACCGCGAGAATATATGGGAGAAAATGTTCCGTGAACAAATATTAGTTGCGACGCGGTGATGATAATAAAAATAGGGAATACCGCACGGTCTATTAAGGTGTTATTTCTCCATGTTCATGCGCCTCTTTCAAGCCTGGTCTGGGTTAAAGGTATGGAAAGTGAGATGGGTAAGGTAGGTTGGTAGGTAGATTAAAGAATATCAGGTAGTAAGTTCGGTCGAAAATCTTATAGGTGATAGTGGAGGTCCTAACTCAGGGAGCTGTGAGGCTGATCGAGAATGAGTACTAGGGTGGGATACCTCTTTGGCACTTTTCTTGGGGCTAACGGAGCGGGTTGAGTTGTTACTTCTGGGTATAGTACGAGTTCCATCAGTGCAATCAGTAGAGCTACGCGATCGCCGCCGTGGCGATCGCTGCGGTGATTGTGGCATTTGTGGTGGTGGCTGGCTGCTACCTGATGAAGAGATGGCTCTCTCTTCGCCCGTAACACCAGACGCCCTTGATGGCACCAATGATGATGTATCCAAAGTATTACCATTGAGCTGTCGCTGTTTCTCCCTCTCTTGCCTATCAAGCTCCGCCTCAATCTCGAGATGTTCCTTCTCCGTCCAGCATCCCTGCCAGCAGTTCTTCCAGTCGCATACAAGGAAGTTGAAGCAATATCCATCTATCTTCAAGCATGGTTGGAAACAGATACATAAGTTGCGGTAGTCCATTTTGTTCTTGTCGACGTAAGAGTGGAGTAGGCTGAGATGACAAGTGATTGTGAAGAGGAGGTAATAGTTATATGGGGGTAATTTGGAGAGTTCGTCTTTGAGAAGTTGCGGTGCTGTGGTGGCGCCGGGGCATTCAGCCGCAATCTTTGCCTGCGTTTCTTTCGGTAATATTTCGTCAGGAAGACAGCGGAGCCATGCTTTAAACATTGATCCTATGGTGTTGATATCATAGAGATCAGGCTCATCGAAGAGGTTGATATCGAGTTCTATCAATGTCTTAGCAAGGGATATTCCTAGAGAACCCTGAGCAACCAGGTGTGCACAAACCTGTATCAAATCGTCGTTGCCAATGTTTAACCTCCTTCCCGCTGCCAGGAACACGATATAACCCCTCTTCCTCGCAGCCCTTGAAGTTAAGGTAACTAGCAAGAAAGATAGCAATTAGTACCGCTTCGCCATGGGCTCACAAGAAAACAAAAATGATATATATACGTACTCGATACATCTCCAAGGTAAAGCAGGCATCCAAAATTCTGTTTTATCTTTAGAGTTTCTCAAACTCTTAACCATCCTCGTTCGCCGTGTCTGCTCTACAAGAGGCAGATTTATTACTGAACATACGTAGTTATCATCCGGGATAACCTCTCGCTCATGGCTGCTGCCGCTGCGCGCAATTTTCCCGAAGAACCCCTTGCCAGCTTTACCAATACGATCTGCCGCTCCGCTGGAAGTGTTTTTGATATTGTTGAATAGCGATGAACTTGCTACAGAGCTCATCATAGAGCTTCCGTGGCTACGTTCTCGCTTTGGATTTGCTTGCAGAGACTGTAAACTGGCATTCTGATTTGAGACGTTACGACTGCCATCTCGGGTGGCTGGTCGATCCGCAGAACGGTTACGGGCAGTCGATCCCATGACGTCTCTGAATGTTCGTTCTTGGTGTAAAGGAGCAGTTTTTAGTGGGGGATCAGTATCAGTACGGGTCTCGTCGAGGCGCAAAAGGCCATTTGAGGGTCGTTTCTTGGGTGCGGCCGAACGAGGGCTTTGTAAACCGTCGTCAGCACGGATGGAGCGGGTACGAGCCAACAAGCCTCCAAAGCGTGGTTTGCTTTTCTTTGGGTTAAGAGAGTGTATTGCTGAAGGGGCGGGTGGCGCCGAGGAAGAAGGTGGTGGAAGTATTGGCGGGTTGGAGGTTGAGGTGGAGTCTTCTGCTGGCTTTAAGCTTGCGGAGCGTGGAGGGGGGGATTGGTGATCTTCACTTGTATCGCCTAAGAACAAGGGGCAGGGGCCAGGGTTAGCGTAGTATTGTGAATAAAAGCAACTGCATACATACTGTTGGGTTTGTCAGTCTGCTTAGGTGAGTCAGGTTTTGGCGATGTTCGCGTCACGCCGCGGCCGGCCCTATCCCTAGAACTGCCTCTACTCATTGAAGATTTTTCCTCACCGGAATGTCCACTTGACGCGTCTGAGAGATGTATCCGTTGGGCAGATCTGGATGCTTTGAGGTTAGAGAAAAAGGATTTGGAAGGATCTCTTGCATGTTTGTTTCCTTGCTGAGGTGACGGGGGGTATGGCGGAATAGCAGTAATGCTCGGCGACTGTGGCTGTTCGGCCTTGTTTGCGATATTTTCCCGTTCCTGGAAGTCGGTGTTTTCCAGCTCATTTGATGATGTGGAAGTCACAGTTCTGATGGTTGAGCCCTTCGGAAATGTCGATGTAGGGCTCAGCCTCGGCGGAGGTGATGTTTTGGATTGAGGGGAGGTATCGCGGCTGGACTTTTGAGGGTGTATTGGAGACGTTTGGAATGATTTTCTGGCCATATTGGCAGGTATGTAGACTGATGATCTATTGGACCTCCCTTTGGGGATGTACCGTGAGATCTGATATGTCGATGTGAAAATTGCAAACGAAATATGACCGTGGTATGGAAGCCTAGTGCTTGAAGACAACACCGGATCAGGGTTCTGGCTAAAATGGACCAAGTTAGTCATCTTGACAGTGATAAAAGACAACAAGCGTCGAAGACTCGGCGTGAATAATGCAGGGTGAGGTAAGAAAGGATATCAGGCTGAAATTGGGTGCGTCCAAGATGTAGTATACCAGTCAGGATATAAAAGCACGAAGAGCCAGCCCCGGTTGTCAATCTGTCCTATTAATGCCGTCACAATCGCATGAAATTAGGCAAAAATACTCCGCTAAAACGTGGAATCTGAATTAAGATCTATGTTTTATGTGTCGACTAGTGAACAAGGTATGCGGCGGGCTATTTTCAGGATTGGGCTCCAACGCAATGGATGGATGCAGATATGCCGGGCGATGATTGATCGGATACGCTCCCTGCACCACGTAGGCGATTATGATGTCCAAGAAAGAGCAGGATGATAGGACAATAGAGTCAGCAGGCTACCAATGCCGTAGAAGGCTGGCTTCGGGCTGTTTCAAGCGTCGGGTTGGGTTGGTGAGATATGAGCAGTCGCCGACAGAAATGTGGGTGACACGAAAAGGGGGAGAGAGCTGTTGCGTTCACAGAAAGGTTGCGAATCTAGAAAATATATCAGGTAAGCCAAGTTCATTTCCTGTGTAAAGCAGCTGAAAAGTGGGATTGTATTCAAGAGACGGTGAAGGAATCGATGAGGCAACAAACATGACAGGACATGGTATTCGTCGCACGTCGAAATTGATTGCAGACGACCACAGAAAAAAGCAACCTTCAACGGACAAGGGATAAAGAATGACACTAGAAAGGCTTCGTACAACATGGGGATACAACAAAAAAGAATGTTGTGAGATAGGGCTGACTTTCTCTCTCTCTCCCTCTCCTTCTCCCTCTCTCACTCTTCACTTTCTTCAACCCTCTGCTTGATATTTCTCCTGCATCACTTCCGCCTTCACTCCGCTCTTCGTGAGACGCTGTACCGGGGAGAGAGAGAGTGTGCCCTGCGAGGAGCCTCGACTCCATCAACGAATTTGATTCAGGCAGTGACGGAGTTATTCGTCTGAACTGAGACGATCGACAGGTTCGAATACAACAGAGAAGCAACAGACCAAAAAATGACATGCGCGCGGCCAATAGGGGAGGGGATAGTTGAAGCTGAAACCAAAAAACAGCCGAAAGCTGAGGAGAATTTAACCCTACCTTTTCCTGATCCGCGCAGGACGACCGCACAGCTGGTCAAGCTACACGAAGACTTCAAGTGAAGAAGTAAAATAATAAAAAAAAAAAATAAAAATAAAAAAATAGTAGCAAAAACCGGACCCTTCCTGTTGTGTGCGAAGAGGTGGTTGACAGTGGCCACATATAAGAGAGGGAATAAAAGGGTTGAGAAGGACGACGAAGACGCAAGCCCCCGGCCGGTCGAGGGGACGCAGGCACCAGGTCGTGTTAGCGTCGATCAATCGGAATGGCTTTACGGACACACACGCAGCACACACATGCAGCTCTGAACGAAGTTGGCTTCAAGCCTGCTCTTGCTGTTTATCTATTGTTTTTTATGAATGTAAATCGAGCACAGCCTGGGGGTGGATGTGGCGGGCGCGACCTTCGTTTCGTTTTTCTCCCCACGAAAGACGAGCGAGGTTGAACGGGCGGTAAAGGGACCCTGGGAATGGATCGGTGGGACGGGCAGGAAAGACGAAGTCAATAAACCTGGTCAACGACAGGCTGGCAGGCTGTATATGATCCCAGTTCAGCGGTTGGACGCTGCAGGTATAATAAGTACATATATAAGTTCGTGAACTTTTATATGGCGGGCTAGAGAAGCTTGGCCAAAGGGGTTAAGGAGGCGGCGAAAGTCAATGTTTCAGCATACTGACGGCGACAGGAGGGTGTACCCACCAAGACAAAACAGCCGAAGCAGCACCAGAGAAACAAGACGAGCGATCTTATAAACGTCGGAAAAAAGAGCAAAAAGTTGAGATGAAGTTGAAGTCTTGAAGTCGAAAATTCCCAAAAGGAGAAGAGGAGGCGATGCTGACGTCAGCGCCAAAAGGGGACTAGCGTCAAAGTTGGCGGCTAAGTCTTGGCATGATGTAATTTTAATTATGTAAGACATGTGGGCAAAAGGAGAGGAAAGAAAGAATAACAGCCAGATGTACGGAGTATTGCAGAGCAACCTGACAAGCTCTTCAGAAACCAGCGAGGAAATGGCATCCAAGGTAGCATCAGCCTGCTCAACTACATCATCGTGAGACGTTGCCTAACGCTTTCTGGGCCCTTCCAATTTCCTACGCGCATAGTGGGTAAGTGACAAATGCATAAAATATAGGGGACACACTATTTTCTATCACAGTACTACCTTGTGCCTTACTTAAGAATTTGAGGCGGGGGAGGTCAAATGATAGCTACCATCTGCGCTAGGAGACACGCTTATCGTATTCGCCTTTAAATCGCTGCTTAGTCTTAAAAGGCCAAACCTAGTCTAATGATTATTTCATGCAAATGTCTCGAGGTGAAAAAGCCTTACTACTATAACCATACTCTAGATACCTACTGTGTATCCCTATTCCATGCGGAGCATAACTTTCGGTGCGATATATAATATGATATCGTTATCATATCCCTGATCTGCCGGTGAAATACTCGGTATGGGGACAGATGGCGCTGTTATCCGCCTCTTTCCTCTAGTTACTGGGTACTCAGATTCATCCTTCCCATGCTCAGTGGCTGATAAACCAGACAGCCATATTGACCGTCTGTACCAGTCTACATTAGCCAATATGCTGAGCCTTTACATACGGGAATCTCTCAGTTCACCTCAAGCTATTAGCATATATTTTTATAGGATCATAGGCCTCTAAACGTGAATTGTTAGTGTCTTTTAGATCAACCACTAGTAGCAAAAGTATCTTATATAACAACTAAGCTGTGGAACTCGCGCCATATCCAGTTCAGTACCTCTAGTTGAATGTTTGGCTAACCTCAGAAAGATAGATTAGAAATACTTGTGGTCTAAGTGGGCGACATGATGATTTTTCCTCTAGTTATAATAGATCAAGAGTGACTGAGGTCCGACAACATGTGAGGAACAAACGCAAAATAGGAAATAGACGTAAAACAAGACGTTTTGTATATCATGGAGGATTCCCTGTAAGACTAAACAAGTTGGCTGGTTATCGACTTCTACATAGTAAGGAGAATATCTTGACAGATACCATCAGCTAGGTTAAAAGAACAAGGCCTTTGCCCCATCGGTGGGCTGGTGACTAAGCACCTTATATAAACGTTTAACAAGTTGTACTCCGTAATCCCAACCATCATACATATAGGTTTCTTCTTTGCCACATTAACCATTTGTAGGGATGGGATCTTTTGGACATCCTCTGTCGTTAATATATATTAGTCAAGGCAAAGCCTATATAAAGCTGTCAAATATAACCAGTCTCTCTGCCACCAATTGGTGCGGACTCGCCTTTTTGGCCGAATGGCAGATTTTGACAAAAGCCCATCACTCATCCAGTCTCCCTCTTGAGTGACTATAATCTGTTGGGTATTAACCACCGTAGTTAGACTTGCACACATTACCAATGGTTCCCATTGGGCATTAGGCCTTTTAGTCTCTTGTGGCCTAGCGGTTTTGAGGTTGAGGTCGCGTACTGCGATTAACCTCCGATATAAGATAACTAGCGTATGACGTCATGCAGGATAGTTTCTTGGGGTCCTCCCTTGCAAGGGTCGTTGCGGATTCTGACATTCTACATTCACAACGACATTATATGTATATAGTGTCGACAGGCTCTGCTCTCGTAGTAGACACTTGCATGTATAGTGGTAGATAACTAACCTTAGCTAGAAGGTAGTTACATACTTCACTTTGTTTTTGGACCATATCTACAGCCGGAAATGAACGCTAATTGTGCATTAGATATCATCTACATTGTTCTCCTTCCTTGATCAACTCAGATTTCCTATACCCTTGCTTTGTATACGGCAACTCCCGCGACGCCGCCTCGAATATGAATATGAATATAGAGGGGCATTTATAATGGGCTTAAACGTGCCTACGACTGCGTTTTCCGCTCAGATGCTGAACGTGGATTACTGAATCACAACGAATGCAGAGTGGTCGAAGTTCATGCCGATTACTTATTATATATACTTGAAAGGTTTCAATATGAAGTCGAACTCAGATACCCTCATCGTGTCGATATCCTTGAAGTCGTTGAAAAAATGACCCGGTCCCTGAGCTACGAAACTGGTGGAATATTACCCGACAGGATTTTTTCACGCTTTCGGTACGATAAACCTCTTTCACCCGAAGCATTCAAGGCAGCCCATAAGATTATTGATAGATGGTCAGATGTCCATGAGCTTGACAAAGAGTTTTCCTTTTTGAAGGTCAAGTATTACCTGTCGAATGGAATCTGCCTATCTGCTAGTGAGGAGGTGAATGGTGATTGGAAGTACATGTATGATACCGAGAAGCATGCCTCAAAAACTGCAGAGGAAATAAAAAAGTGGATACTTAGTAGACACAGTACCTTGGACGTCTAAACAGCCTCTCTTCTTCACTCGCGCCCCTCAGCATTACATAAACAAATGAGCCTAGAGTCATTCGCATCCCTATACTATGGTCATATTCTGAACCCGTACTCGCTTTTCCTTGCCAAAAAGGGGACTTTTGAAATCTACAGGACTCATAATTAAGTGGCGTGAAGCCCTTACTAAGTACAGAGCCGGGGCTTTAAGTACACGCTTAAAGCGCCCTAAATCTCCTTTACTCCATAAGGTACAGAGCCACATAGCTAATTTAACATACTCACGCACATATATATGGCATAGCCCACTGGATATAATCACCCTTCAGGTGGATCCCAAAGAACAAGAGGACAAAGTGGTCATAACCTAGGCCCACCAGTAACCTCTACCACAACCGTGACAGCAGCCATCCCTACTCCTCCAGCAGAAGCCACTGTCCATCAAGGAACCAAGGTGAAAGACAAAATAGAAACCCATTGAAAATTAGACCCTTTTGCCCCTTATGGCTCAGCAGGACTGACAATACTATTCTTCTTTATTTTATCAGTCTCAAGGATCCTGGATGCTAGCCTTCAGGAACATGTTAGAAGTATATCCACATGCGCAGCAGACCTGCAACGGCGCTCTTAGCGCCTAGTGACAATAAAATCTGCGGAGTTTTATCGATCTATGCATATAAATAGATGATACGATCAAAGCAACCTTGAAAAGCAATTCCCCATTTCATGTTGCCAAAGTAGATAGTGGGTCTTTCCTTATCTGATTGATTAGATTGGTCATCTGACTGATAAAGTTCAAATCTTAGATAAGATAATTTGCTCCGCCACACAACAAGACCAACCGCCAAACCAGCTAGCGCATATTAAAATCCCTAGAAAGAGTACGGAGTATTATTACTCAGAGCGGTCACTAGAATTATGTGATTTCCAGTTGCTTTAGGAGCCTGCCGCCGGTGGAACTCTCAATGATAGAATACTTCTGCCTCTGAAAGCTGACCAATCAAAATCGTCTCACGTGCCAAGCCGCTTTTACGGAAACGGAATATTAATATTCCTCTTGATTACACAAGAGTTTGTGGTGTACGCGCCAAGACTTGATCCCGCTGCGTTCAAAGGTTGAACATAAATAGACAAGTTGATAACCGTCCGTTATATTCATACTGACCAGTATATGAATATCTCTAACTAAGTGGCCGGCTTCTTTGTGAATCTGACTAGTAAACGGACAGATCCACGCTACTATCACAATATCTCACTCTCGAAAACAGCACCCATGTCTCTTGTCTCAGGCCCAGGCAGAGGCGGATCTACCAGCGGAACGCAGGAGCTCTACATCCAGAAGCATGTAGACTACATAAAGAGTCTAGATACTGTGCGTGAAACTTCTCCACTCTAACGCCTCTTCCTTTTCAGTGCCCGGATCGCTCGCTAACCCCGCGTTGCCAGCGAAGAGATGAACTCGAATATTGGTTGACAGAACATCTCCGGCTCAATGGCGTCTATTGGGGACTCACAGCACTTCATATACTCGGTTATCCTGATGCGCTACCCCGCGACCAGACAATCGAGTTTGTTTTGTCTTGCCAGAGTGAAGACGGTGGGTTCGGTGCTGCTCCTGGTCACGATGCCCATATGCTCTATACCGTCAGCGCAGTACAGATACTTGTCACACTCAATGCAGTCAATGAACTAGATAAAAATGGGCGCGGTGGGAAGGAGAAGGTTGCTTCTTGTACGTTGAGCCCTAGTTTCACTCAGTTCTGATCCATGCTAAGATCCTCAAGGGATTGTAAATCTTCAAGACTGCTCGACGGGAACGTTTAAAGGCGATTCATGGGGGGAAACGGACACACGCTTCCTCTATGGGGCGTTTAATGCACTATCCCTCCTTGGATTGTTACACCTGGTCGACACTGATAAAGCTGTGGCTTATATCCAATCCTGTGCTAACTTCGATGGAGGGTATGGCGTGAGGCCTGGTGCCGAGTCACATGCCGGCCAGATATTTACGTGTGTCGGAGCACTCGCTATAGTTGATAGACTAGATCTTGTTGATACTGATAGGCTAGGCGGCTGGCTCAGTGAGCGCCAGCTGGACAATGGAGGGCTGAATGGACGACCCGAGAAGAAAGAAGACGTGTGTTATAGCTGGTGGGTGATGAGTGCTTTGGCCATGATTGGGAGGTTACATTGGATCGATGGAGAGAAGCTAGCCGCATTTATATTACGGTGCCAGGTAAGATACTGCTGATATACACAATGCCTTGAGAGATATAACAAGCTAACATTATTAGGATCCCGAACACGGCGGCATAGCTGACAGGCCAGAGGATATGGTAGATGTATTTCATACCGTATTTGGGCTAACTGGGCTTAGTTTATTGAAGTATCCAGGTCTGAAAGAGGTAGATCCAGTATAGTATGCCCCCTTGACTTATCCATTTGATCTCACCGTACTATTTTACTAATATCCATCAGCTGTATGCCAAAGGAGGCCACAGATAGAGCGTTAGGTCGTTGCCAACAATAATATATTTTTGAGCATGATATACTGCATAGTTTCTGGACTTGAACTAGGTCTAACTGAACTCTGCCCTGTAAGTTGTCCTGCACCAACAACTAGATACCCGTCAGAAACCCTCTCTCCCTCCAACTCCCGCTTCTTTATGGCCCGTTGACCTTGTATATGGACGATGGGACACTCGGCAGGAGAAGAGTATACCTACTCGCGTGCCATATACCTACTTGGGGATGACTACATATATTAGCCCTGAGAGTAATCGTGCGTCGTGTACATAAACCACCAGTTAAGTACAATGGGTTCATTGAACTTATCATCAAACTTCTTTTTTATATATATAACATACACTCATCATGGCTTGATGCTCGATGTGCATCTTTGTCATCCCATAGTGGTGTTTTTTGCTTGCGGGCAAAAAACAACATCAACCGTGCGCTTTCCGGGACATCTCGACCTCTTTCTCCACCATGTCGTCTTCTTTCCACCACGCTTGGCTAATTTCTTCATCTTCAGCTTGCTCTTCCTTCGTTAATGAAGAAGAACAAACAAATAACCCTTTTGAGCGGTTGGCGAGAGCTTTCTTCTTCTCCTCGCCGCTTCTTCTCTCTCTCTCTCCCCTTCGAACTCCAACATTTCATCTTCTCGTCGTCTGAACAAGAAGCCACTGCAGAGACCATCCAGCAACTTCATATCGTACTTATCCCCTGACAGCATTGATATCACTGTTACTCTTTTTCTCCTCCCTCCCTACCCTGGAACCCCGATATACCAATACCAGCTCCATGAATTCAAACGCTGTCAACATGCCACCGTCAGAGCTGAAGTGCAATATATGTCCCCGAAAGCCCAAATTCAGCGATGTCTCTCATCTACTGACCCATGTGAGCTCCAAGGGCCACCTATCCCACTATTTCAAGCTACAAGTACGCAGCCACCAGGAGCCGCAGGCCAGTGAGCTTTTGGCTGCCTATGACCGGTGGTATGAACAAAATAAGCTTGCTACTTTGTTATCAGACCGTATGCTTGCCAAAGAAGCCCGCACTGGTAAAGGTCCCCGTAACAGTACCCGTGCAAGCCTTCCAGTTGCTTTCTCCCATCGTCCATCTTCGACCGTGACCGTGACTACTTCTGCTAGCCGGAATCCCAATGCCACTTCTAGCCCCCGGAGGAATTCACTCCCTAGCTTCCTGGATCCTCAACTCTCCCAGAACTACTACACCTACGATGCCCAAGGCAATCGTATATCAGGTCGAACATATTCCCCCATGTCAGTCAGTAGCATGATCAACCCCAATCCTCAACCTGGATATTCCTGGCACCAACCACCTCAGTATCAAACTCAAGCTCCATTGCCATCCTCATCCATGCCACCAGTGTGGAAGGATAGGGATGAAACAGAGTCAGATGGCGAGGGAAGTCCGCTGATGGGGAGGCGAAGGAGGATGATACAAACTAGACCTTTGATTGATCCGTCCATACGTCCCTCTCGTCGATCAATGACCCCTGATCCATTTGTTGATGATGATGCTGCTTTTGAGTATGATGACGACCAGGAAGAACATAGCCAGCGGGGAAGTGATGAAGCGAACAGGTTAAAAGGTATCTTCTGGCCTGGCATGGACATATTTGATTCTGCCACCGAGGAAATGAGACGTAAACGAAACCAGAAAAAGGATGGCTCCATTATTAAACAGATGGAGGAGACCTCTGAAAGTGTTGAGCCGACTGAACTAGTGTTTTCTCCTAATGGTACCCTTCGGAAACAGCGCGTCATTTCTGGCATGGTTGATGATAGCAGCCCCCTCAAGGGAGAAACACCCATTCCCAAGAAGAGGGTATCGCGCCCGCGTAGGCGAGCCTTGGCTCAACTGAATGCAAATGCTCAGATGCAGTCAGCACAGAGCAGATATCAGATGAGGATGAGAGCGCAGAGTCATGTTTCTCGGCTCGAGAAATTATCTCGACAGGCACTTATGTTCGGTGATTCTCTAGGAGGTATTGCTCAGAGTTATAACAATAATGATGGAATGGATTACCCGCCGCTGGACCCCCACCGCCGCCATGCTGTCCCTGTGTACCGTGATGGCAACAATGCTGTCAAATTTGGGCTTGAATGCTCCACAGTCAAGGCAAACGAATACAGTAAACCTTATTATGGTTCTTTCAAACCTCCAAGCACTGGTTGGTATTACCCTCTGCTCCTAAACAACGTGAACTTGACTGATTATTCATTATCCATCAGAGGCCTACCGAGGTAAAGAGAATATTGACCCTATATTTGCCCACATGGGCGGACGGGATGTTCAGAAGCAACAATACTACTACGGATTCCCATCTCACGCTGAAAACGATACCTACGGATACTCGATGAACCCCTTGTCTTATGCCACATCTCAGCCACCTTGTGACCCTGGCCATAATAGGGATGGGCTCAAGGATACCATGACAGTCGACACCAAGGACTTGTTTGTTCAGCAAGCGTCTGGGATTTTTGGAACTGGCCGTCCTGCATCTCCTAGAGGAACCATGTCTGATATAGGGCACGATGATATTACCCAGATGTATCTGAATGGTCTGCCGGAGTAACCAACTTGATGCTTAGGAGTTTGCCTCCCTTTATGTGGACTAGGCCTATTACTTTCTTTATTTATGTCTCCCATTGTGAGTGAATGCCTGGTAGTCGTCTTTAAGAGGGCTGCTTATCTCCGTCACTTGATGTACCCACCACTCTCTTATATATTATGATTCACAATAACTCAAGCATAGAAAGCGCTTTCTATCATTAGTGAGATGATCATAGGTGTCCTGCACTTACTTATTGCTACCTCAATATGCATTTTTTGATTTTCTAGGCCTTGCAGTCTATAGGAATAAATAGATATACAATTCATGTTTTACCACAATGACATCACTTTAGTACGACTTGTAGGATGGTATAGTTAATCACGTGATATACAGAATCTTAAATTGATTAGTTCAGCGGACGCGATTTTGACGCGTTAACTAAAGCGACGTCCATGAGAAGCTTCAAATAGTATAATCGCCCATCAACGGACACGATAGCATATCAATCGGGTCGCACTTGACCAGAAAGCTCTGATAGAGAAATAATGAGTCAAACTCCAAGCTTGAAACGAAAGCAACAGACCATATCTAGCTTCTTCACCAAGGCAGCTCCTAGTCCGTCCTCAAATGGAATCACGACAGAACGGAAAAGAGGGAAAGAAAATATCCGCAACCATGCTGCTTCTGAAGGGTCTACTAGGTCTAAATCAAAATCTCCACTAAAGGAGGGGAGCAATGGCAATACGCAAGATATTGATGAAGACGAAGAGGAGGACGAAGTTATACTCCCGGTGAAGAAACGGATAAGAAGCAGTGCTTGGGAACCTGCCGAGAAAGTGGTAGATAAGGGAACAATGGCTAACCATAATGACGAAGACGAAGAAGAAGTCCAGCCATCTAGCCTTATAAAAAACGCTGAGCCTCAATCTTCTGCCTCTCGGGCTGAGAAATACCGATTCCAATCATCCCCTGTGCAACCCCTGATAGAGGAACAGATATCCCCAGCAGAACGAAAACGGAGAGATCAATTACACCAGAAATTTGTCCGTCGGTTGGGTGGGCCAGACTGTCTTCCATCCCTACGTTCTTATGACGGTGGTTCAGAGGTAGACCCAACAATTGAAGGCGCAGCAAGTGATGAAGAGGAAGAACATACACCGCCCCCTGTATCGAAGGGCAAAGCGGGGAAGAAAGCAGGAGGCTCCAAGTTAACGCCAATGGAGAAGCAAATACTGGAGATCAAGAATAAGCACCTTGACGCAGTACTGCTGATTCAGGTGGGGTATAAATTCCAGTTTTACGGTGAAGATGCGAGGATTGCAGCCAAGGTGCTCAGTATAGTATGCATACCAGGGAAACTCAGGTTTGATGAGCGTTAGTCTCCTCGTTCCATGTATGTTGTTTTAGAGAATAATCAACTAATAGTAACAACAGATCCATCGGAAGCCCACTTGACTCGATTTGCATCGGCGAGTGTACCTATTCACCGGCTTCATGTACATGTCAAGCGGCTGGTGACGGCCGGGTATAAGGTTGGCGTCGTTAAGCAGTTGGAGACTGCCGCGTTAAAGGCTGCTGGTGACAATAGGAATGCACCTTTTGTCCGAAAACTTACAAATATGTATACCAAGGCCACATACGTTGAAGATGATGCTGAAAATGAGTTATCTGGTGCCCTAGAGCCGTCTACGGGATACTTACTCTGTTTGACGGAGAGCGGTGCCAAAGGCCAAGGAAATGGCGAGAAAGTCCAGATTGGAATTGTTGCGGTCCAACCTGCTACAGGGAACGTTATATACGATAACTTTGAGGATGGATTCATGCGAAGCGAAATCGAAACAAGGCTGCTTCATATTGCTCCATGTGAACTGCTTTTGGTTGGTGACCTGTCTGCCGCAACGAATAAGCTCGTTAAGCACCTCTCTAAGGGAAGGATGACTACGTTTGGGGATAATGTTCGAATTGAGCAGATGGAGAAGTCCAAGACTGCTGCTGCTGAAGCACATAGTCATATCTCAAGTTTCTATGCTGGAAAGATGGCATCAACAGGCACGCCAGAGGATGAGAGGGCAAGTGGTCTTTTTGACCAAGTGTTAAAACTACCGGATGATGTCACCATCTGCCTCTCGGCTATGATCAAGCATTTGACTGAGTATGGGTTAGAGCATGTGTTTGATCTTACAAAATACTTTCAGTCCTTTTCAGCGAGATCCCACATGCTGCTCAATGGCAATACGTTAACGAATCTAGAGATATATCAGAACCAAACAGACTATTCCTCAAGGGGCAGCTTGTTTTGGAGTATGAACCGAACTCGGACAAAATTCGGACAACGTCTACTTCGCAGATGGGTTGGAAGGCCCTTGTTAGACAAAGCGAAGCTTGAGGAACGCATTGAGGCAGTGGCAGAACTCCTTGAGCCAGACAAATCCACGCTAACACACAATCTGGGGTCTATTTTATCACAGGTCAAGATTGACCTTGAAAAAGCCTTGATTCGAGTGTATTACGGGAAGGTGAGCCGGTGGTCTGACACAAGTTGACATTGTTTATCTTTCTAACTGTTCCTAGTGTACTCGTCCGGAACTGTTAACTATGCTAAAAAGCATGCAGTCAATTGCAATGGGCTTCGCACATGTAAAGTCTCCAGCCGACACTGGCTTCACATCTCATATCCTGAGTGAATCAATTGCAATTCTGCCAACAATTTACGATGGCGTTGTTGCATACCTAAACAAAATTAACGAAGCGGCGGCACGGAAAGACGATAAATATAATTTCTTCCGCGAGTCAGAGGAAACAGAGGAGATTGGTGAACATCGTTTGATGATCGGAACGATAGAGTATGAGCTTAAAGACCACCTGAAGTCTATAGCGGAAACACTGGGAAAGAAGAAAGCCCAGTATGTATCTGTTGCAGGAATTGATTATCTAGTCGAGGTTGAGAACTCTCAGAGCACTTTGAAGAAAGTCCCAGCGTCCTGGCGGAAGATTAGTGGCACCAAGAAAGTATCGCGCTTTCATACTCCTGAAGTTGTGAAAATGATGCGAGAAAGAGATCAGCAGAAAGAATCTCTTGCTGCTGCGTGTGATAAAGCATTCTTGGACCTTCTGGCGGATATATCAACGAAATACCAGCTGTTCCGTGACTGCATTCAAGCTCTCGCGACAATCGACGCGTTGCACTCCCTATCCGTTATCGCCGCCCAGCCCGGCTACGTCAAGCCAAAGTACACAGATGAGACTGTTATAAACATCTCGCAAGGCCGTCATCCGATGGTGGAGAAAGTTTTAATCGACTCCTATGTTCCGAATGATACCCGGCTAAGTACTGATGAAACAAGAGCTCTACTTGTCACTGGCCCCAATATGGGAGGGAAATCCAGCTACGTGCGCCAGATCGCTTTAATATGTATCATGGGCCAGATTGGCTCCTACGTGCCTGCCGAGTCCGCTACGCTCGGCATGCTTGATTCCGTGTATACTCGCATGGGGGCGTTTGACAACATGCTCGCAGGCGAGTCTACGTTCATGGTCGAACTATCGGAAACAGCCGATATCCTAAAACAAGCTACCCCCCGTTCACTAGTGATACTTGACGAGCTCGGCCGTGGAACATCTACACATGATGGTGTAGCTATCGCGCAAGCTGTTCTTGACTACATGGTTCGCAACTTGCGAAGTTTGACTTTATTCATCACACACTACCAGAATCTCAGTCGGCTTGCGAGTACGTTTCCGGCCGGCGAATTACGAAATGTGCATATGAAGTTTACCGAGACCGGCGACCAAGGACAGGACATCACTTTCCTCTATGAAGTAGGCGAAGGGGTAGCTCACCGGTCGTACGGGTTGAATGTTGCAAGGCTTGCCAATATTCCATCTGGGATATTGGAGGTAGCGCGGATCAAGTCAGGAGAGCTGGAAGCTAAGATAAGCAGGAAGAAGATGGGCTGTATGCTCAGGGGTATATTCCAGACTCTATCTGAGAAGGCCTCCAACGGAAGTGGGGAAGAGCTGGTTGGGCGCCTTCTCGATGACATCGAACTGTTGTAAATTAGCGCTTGTTTTCTTGATATAGATGTACCATAGTGATAATATCCCCAGTTGAAATCTTGAATTTGGACACGCCCTGCATTCTTCTTAGACTCATTTGTTAAGCTGTTCCAGCTTGGGTATTAAGGAATAGGCAACAATTTAACAACAGTATTATCGGCTATACTCCATGCGGCATCATTCCTTGCACATGCATATTCAGAAAAAACGGCTGAGTGAACGGAAGTGGTTGTCTTGAAGCTCTCGATTTCGTTTATTTTTGAGACATCAGAAAGGTTTTCGAATTAAGAACCAGTAGTAGTAACAGGAAATCGCGCCCAAGTTAGAAACACCCCTCCGTTATATCATGGCCATCACCAAGCAACTTCCGTCTATCGGAGTCTGCGGGCTTCTCTTTCAGATTCGAGGAGACAGAGGATATCGTCGACACGGACTATGACCAAGTTTCGTTAGTTATGTATCCTTTATGATCAAAACCAATTCATCATGGCTTTCCCCAAAAGAGACAAATTTATTATGCTTTAAATCGAAGGCCGCGCATACCTGGTCCCTTGACGTTTCGGATAATGCTTCGGTTGGAGTCGTCCATGAATTCAACGCGGACCTGAGTAACACCTCCTCTGGAACCTATTTCACGCAAAGAGAACAAGAAATTAGCCCTCCATCCTTTGACCAAATCCATCGCCTTTTTTTTTTTTTTTTTCATTTGTTCTTCTCTGCCAATTCTGCTATCCGCCCCTTATCTCCTGTCCCTTCTATCCTCTGGGTTGAACGTACCGGTGCGACCGAGAACGCTGGTCACCTTAGCGTATTTGGCGGGAACTTTGCCAGCATCCATGGTGGGCGGCTGTGGATGGAGTGACGGAGGGAGAGCTGGAGGATGTTGGCTTCGTGCTGCGGTGGTCGAGGTGGTCGAAGGTGAAAGATTGTTCGAAGTTCGCGATTTGATCGAAAAGAGTTCGAAATTTTGGTGGTTTGTGGGAAGCAGTTTCTGCCGACTTGCGACCGCCAGATCGGGCTGGGCGGTGAGGGTCGGCGGAAGGTTTACCCGATATCCCGCACTAGCCTGATATGGACTTTAGCCCTAAGCCCTAGTTTATATGAGGAAGGTGGGGCATCTGCATCAGACATCATCTCTCCTAAGAAAGGCCCTCCTAAGAAAGGCTCTCATAAGAAAAACCTCTCGAGGATGGCAATGATATGATCTTTACGATGAGTCTGACATATGCTTTATAGTACTGTACCTGGCTCAGCAATGGAACTGGCAGATATCTAGGATGGTACCCTGCTAGATGCTCATTTTGGAGGGTCTGCAGCTGTTACTGGTTGCGCTATTACGAAAGTTCTTATGAGCACATATATGGTAAGTAACCATTGAAAGAGGTCTGGGCTGACGTACTGTTCCATAGGAATCTAATGGCAGCGTTCCAAACCTGGAGTACCGTCATGGTCTTGAGATCAAAAACAACTGTTAGAGACTGGTTAAACTACGGCGATGAAGCTGCGACAGACGACACATATATTCCAAAATCAGCTAGATGCAGGAGAACTCTAGATGCCCCTCAAATTTCGGTTGACATCTTGACTGACAAGGCCGGTGATAACACGGAAGTTTGATAGTCGTCTTCGAGGCGCTGGGGTGTATTTATACATCGAAAGACATCATGCAGCAAGGTTACCTGCACCACCCTGCATTATCAAGTGTACATGCCTTCCCATTGGTAGATAAAGGCAGATATGGCTGGCTGACCAGGCCAACCTAATATGTACAAAGTATACACCGGCTGTTTACATAGACGATATTACCCAGCATCTGGCATATAGCAAGTGGTTTCTACATCCATCTGCAACTTTTTCTCTCAGAGCAATTAAATTAAATAGATTAAGTGGCGCAAACAAGCTTCTAAACCTTTTAAAAAGCCTGGTTTCACGTGTTTTTTATGGCGGGCCAAAAGAAAAAAGACCTTAGAAACTATCAAAGCTGATTCGAAAGCTTCCTGCGGCCGCGATTGGATTCGTTTCGTATCTCGAGTAAGAGCTTGACATTTTTAATAACTATATATTTAATAGTTGGTAGGGGGGTTCCAGGGCCTGTAGGTACTACATGGTCGTTTCACCAGCTGCATTCTCCGCATCTTGACCCGCCATAGTATATATCAAAGCCCAATTGCTCACTGACTCACACCTCGTTCTCTCCTCCAACCATCTTACTTTGCAACGTCCGTCGAAATGGATTTGGTAAACCAGTGAGTAGCTCATATATATACGATCTATTGCTCTGAAAGGACGGGAACGCTGACGGGTGGGAATAAAGTCTAGAAGGCCGGCTGCTTTTTGCACTGCCCAAGAGCAAGTTTCAACCTCCCCCTCCACCGCTGTAGCAGTAGAATGCTGCTGCGGCTGCAAGGCATGGCCAATTAACACAATCAAAACAACACAGAGGGCCGTCTCCAACAGGCGTCATTCGATCTCTTAGATGGCTCAGATATTCAGTTCCGCAGGGAACACCGTTTGGATATAGCTCTGGTCAAGAATCTTCCAGTTGCTCTTATTTTCCTGCCAGCAGCAGACATACCTACCTTCGTTGGTGAAGGGCGAGTTGATCTAGGCATCACAGGACAGGATCAGGTAGCTGAATATGATATCCGTGGCCTGCCAGGTCACCAGTCTGGTGTAGAGGAGATACTCGACCTTGGGTTTGGAGGATGCAAGCTACAGGTCCAAGTGCCAGAGAAGGGCCCGATATCTGAACCCAAGGAACTCATTGGGAAGAATGTTGTCACGAGCTTCACAGGCCTTGCGGAATCATACTTTGCCAAGCTAGAAGGCGCACAGAGAAAGGAGGATGGAACCTGGGATATAAAGACCAAGATCAAGTATGTTGGTGGTAGCGTAGAGGCAGCCTGTGCTCTGGGAGTAGCAGACGGAATCGTCGACCTAGTCGGTACGTTATCATGGACACTGCTTTTATCACTGTTACCTATCTAACCTGTGCAATCACAGAATCCGGCGAAACCATGAAAGCGGCTGGCCTCAAGGCTATCGACACAGTCATCAACACCAATGCTGTACTTGTCAAGTCACGAAACAGCACCAATCCCCTAGTGGACCTCATTCTTCCAAGAATACGTGGTGTTATCAGTATGTTCATTGCAACACTTTAGAAAAAAAGACCAACCACAAATGCTAATGTCATCTATAGCTGCTAAAAAATATGTGCTCTGCCAGTACAACATCCCTCGCAGCATCTTGCCCAAAGCCTGCGCAATAACGCCTGGGAAACGTGCTCCAACCATTACTGCTTTGGAAGAAGAGGGTTGGGTCGCCGTCAGCGCCATGGTAGAGAAGAAACAGATTGCAACCGTTATGGATGACCTGTCTGGTACTGGCGCAACTGACATACTCGTAGTAGGGATTGCAAACTCGAGAACTACTCCTTGAGAATGGCATTTACGTTATCCTCTTTCACTGGCTCTGTTTGACAACTTGGTTTTCACCTGCTTTTCTTCCGTATCGAGTTGCTATTTTATTATATGATATGCTACGGGTTCCTTTTGAGCCTGAATAACCTTGACTTAAAACAGCTTCCGGGATTAGTTGGGAATAATTATCTTCTCGGGTACGTTTTATTTAGTATACATTCGCGATGAAATCGTGGTCAGTTACTTTGACAAGAGCTGTCACCATAGATTATCTACAATAAACTAGAAAACCACCAAATTACAATATGTAGAACTAACATTGTAGTACCACTGAATGAATCAATAATATATTTATATATAAATTACATCAATGTTGTCCTGCCTCCAACATCTCTCGCACCTTCACCCGTGGGCATCTCTCCATTTCTACCCACGATGAACTCGCGATATATACTTTCTAGCCTCTTCCTCTCTACAGCACTAATGGAGCAGCGAGTAGTAGCAAGTGACCTCTCGATATGCGTCCATTCGATACTAATCTCATCAGAATCTTTATCGTCATCGTCTAGTCCTGCATCGCCGGAAGCGTTATTCAGATTCGCCTTTGGCAGTGCATCAGATATATGGCTGCGCTGCGCCTGTCTTTGACGTAAACGAGCCTTTTTAAGTTCCTCAATTTTAGCTGCAATGACAGCCGGTGGGTCAAGGGATGTGTTTCTCACGCCCTTGGATGTCGTGGCGAGAGTGTGTTCTTTGGAGTCGTATAGGAATTGGATAAAGGGTTTGTTAACCTGTGAGGTCTTGGTAGGCTTTTCACTGGTTTCGGTCGATGATGTGTTTGACTTCTTGGAAGACTTTGATCCACTTTCTGGAGCTGGTGTTCGGTCACCCAAAGCATCGTGGATGGCTTCGAGGTGAGCGTTATATACAACGGCCTGCAGATCGGCGCCAGAGTACCCTTCTGTTCGGCCGGCAATTTCATACAGTCGGGACATTACATCGTCGCTCAGTTTCAGTTTTCCGCTCAGAGCTTGGATGATGTCAACTCGATCAGCATGGTTGGGCATGTCACATAGCAATGACTTGTCAAGACGGCCTGGCCGAAGCAGCGCCGGATCAATCAAGTCTGGGCGAGAGGTTGCCGCTAACACGTATACCCCCGATAGACCTTCTGCACCATCCATCTGTGTAAGAAGCTGATTGACAACTCTGTCTGTCACGCCGGTGGAATCATGACCACGCTTCGGCGCAATACTGTCAAATTCATCAAAGAAGAGGATACAGGGGCGCGCAGCTTCGGCCCTCTCAAACAAGTCACGCACACTTTTCTCACTGGCACCAATATACTTGTTAAGAATCTCAGGCCCCTTCACACTGATGAAATTGAGACCGCACTCTCCAGCAACCGCACTAGCAAGGAGGGTTTTCCCACACCCCGGAAACCCGTAGAGTAAAAGTCCCGAACGAAGTCGGAGTGGACACTGAGAAAATATCGGTGCGTATTTCGTGGGGTATTGTAGGGTTTCTAGGAGTGTGTTCCTCGTGCTATGCAAGCCACCGATTGCAGAGAATGTGGTTGACGAGGACGTAAGAGTGACATTGCGCAGGGATGCGGGTGTGAATCCCTTCAATGCCCGATCAAAATCCTCTGTGCCAAGGGATATGACTGTGGATGAAGATGTGGTATCTTGTACCGCACTGATCAGTGCTTCATTTCTCGCACGGGAAACTAGGAGGACCAGGTCTCCAGGCATATAGCCGTCAGTCTTCCCGGCTAGGTCGAGAAAATCAAGGTCTCTACTTAGTACAAACCCATCAGAATGGCCGGAGGATCCAGGCCGTGATGTGGGATTTGATGGGTTCAACCAGGAGTCCTGAGATGAAGAGCTCGGATTGTGAGCATGGCCATTCAGGTCGCCATGTAGTGTGGAGGTTTTATCCTCCTTTGTTAACTGTTCGAGTATCATTCTTCGTCCATCTTTATTGGGAGACTTCAGACTGATAATTTCCCGAACAACGTGGCCACCAATAATGACGTTGTTTAATGACTCCTTTGCCTGAGCAGTTGCCAGTAATACGACTGGCGACGAGGCGGAGCAAAATTCCCGAACAGTAGAGCAAACTATCTCACTGACTTGGCGGCTTCGGCCATTCTCACCGCCCACTTGGAGCTCCGTCTCAACAGGGCACAGTTTATCTAGATCATCTAGTATGACAACTGAGTTCCCGCCGAGTCTTGCACACCAAGAAGCTGAAAGAAAAAGTCGCCGTAGAGTTTCCTTGATAGAGGAAACCCGGGTTTCATCAGTGAGTAGTTTTCGACATGGGAAATATGTGACATTGAACAGATAATCCTCTCGTAGCTGGTGAGCAAGCAGATAAGCAAGGGATGTCTTGCCTGATCCTAGTCCACCGGTGAGAAGGATCGAAGAGGAACGGGTGAGGTTTGACATGCAGTTCGTAATCACGGGTTTGATCCCTACTAACCTAGGGATCTCAAGGGGCAAAACTTCGTCGTCTGGTGTAGGCTGGAATGATGGGTCTGGCGGTTTGGGTATTGCTCCCTGTATTTCAATGGCAATCTTGCCTTCAGAGCCTAGCACCCAGCTGAATGCTGGTTTCGCATCTACAGAACTTCCCTCTAACGGGGGGTCAAATTTGACCATCCCTCCATCGAAGTCTAGAGTCCTCGTTTGATCATCTAGTTTTGGCAAAAACATCCCATCTGTGATAGGGCCGCTTAAAACGCCTGTGTCTGATCCAGGGCTCCCGTAAACCATTTTTAATCGTTCAACAAAAGCATCCCGGAAGCTAGCCGAGTCGCCGCCAAATCTAAATCCATCTTTCTTTTTTGACAGGTCGGTTCCAAAAGGGAATATCTTGACTGTCTTCACTGATGGTTTCTGCATTGGGGGCGGAGCAGCCTCTATACGAACGATGCCACCAACCAAGCCGTCAAATTCCAGAGCAGAACATAAAAGAGAAGAAAGGGCAACATGCTCGGAGTCCGGGCTCTCATCCCAAGGGAGAAGCCTTGCTACCAGCTTTCGAGAGATGTTTCCGGCTTCAGGGGATATCAGCTCCTTCTGTTGAGCTTGTTGCTGTGGGTCGACAGGCGCTTGAAGGGCAGCTGGTCGTACAATAGAAACGCAAGCCCAAGAAGATCCTCGTAGCTCATTCCTAGATAAAACATCACGGTCAATCCACACCCTTAGTCCCTCGTTCTTTTCTGCCTCGTTGTCCTCGTCAAACCAGTTCAAAGCAGCTTTCCGGTCTACGGCGCGCAAAAAGAGAGCTCCTCGCGATGAAGACTCGGACTGACTACTCCTCGGCCTCTGCACACTGCTGACACTCCTTGTTCCCTGGCTCCGGCGGCCAGTACTGGCTATACTCCTATTTCCACTGTGGGATGACCTCCCGGTCTTTGGGCGGACCTTTGGCGCAACGATGACTTCTGCATCAGGTGAAATTTTGGCGAAAGGCGATGTTGAGGGGGCTTGTGGCGTGAGTGATGTGATAGTGATATTCGCCGTGGAGGTAGGTGAAAGGTGTAAAGTTAGCGGATGCGTGTGCTCGTCTTGATCAGCAGAAGGAGTATATGCTGGGTTAGGAAGGGCCCTGATTTGAGATAGCAGGTTGAGCTCCAAGAAGTTGGCGTGCAGCTCGATGACTATATGTGAGAACGGTCAGGATTGTATACAAACGGAAATACATGCAAGGAGGGCTGCATACTCTCCCAGTCCGTAGGGGTTAAAGGCTCAATGTTCACAGTGTGGGCGACTGGCGGATCCAAGTGTAGAAGTACTCCAACCTGAAGATCAAGGTTAATAAAGGTCCATAGATCCCAATATAAAAAAATAAGTGTTAATGTACCTTCTGCCCATCACTTAGGCCCAATACCCTCCCAAAGGTGGAATCGATTTCTAGTACGGCCACATCCTGGTCTTTGGGTTGTCCCCTTGTGCCATTGATACCATCTCGAGTCACAACTGGCGCCAGCTTCCTCTTGCTAGGCATTCCAGTCCATCCGACATGTGCTGATTTCTGGACTGACTGCCCAGTTTTGCCAGAATTGGACGTGGACGTAGATGGGCCGTTGTGCTGGATCTGGACAATAACATTTTGCGCGGGCTAATTTACAGGTTAATTATTGTATCATACACAGCATAAGACACCCTACTTACTGTATTCGCATTGACTAACAGTGAAACAAGCGGCGAAGGGAGGTTGACAAGGCAACTCTTCAAAGGAACAAGGGCTATCTCTGCCAGAGTAGGGGTTCTTTTGCCGGGAGCCATAGCTATATAGAAGACTGGAGAACCCACAAACTACCTGGCAAGCTGGATGAAGTGACGGGCAGCGCAGGAAATGTTATCATCAAGCAAGCCAGAGACCACCATGCAGCATCTCTGTATATTATCAACTTGCTTCTTCTTGCGCGACGACGAAGCTTGCGGCTTCTCCAGCTTTCTTTTTTGACCTTTTGGATGCACGCGGGAAACTCGTGACCCCGAGCATAAACAGTTTTTCCGACTCCGAAAAGCCGAAAATTACGGACCGAGCCTTATTCCGCTCCGTGATTACTAATGAACTTAAACATAATAAACTAAACCCAGTTCGGCCATATTAACGCGTCGCGTCTCTTGATCGCGTTTTGCGCGCGCTTATCATTTTGATGAGAGTTTGTTTGAGTTTCGAATTTCGCGATTGCTTCAACAAAACAAAATCACAGACAAGAGTTTGCGATTTTACCAGCAATTGGTAGCGTACTATCGCCCTTTTAAATTACTCTTGATAACGGTGCCTTGGGCGTATTTTTCCTCTCTATACAATTGCGTGAAACCCTCCTGCTGCGTTTACCCTCGGCGCGTGCAAAAATGGCGCTCTTTCCCCTCCGCCTGCAAATAAACTACGAGGAGGAACAGAATGTGCTGAAAGAGTTTCTCCAGAACTTCAAATCCAGCCAATCTGCTTCTGAAACTTCCGCAACTGAAGCGATTTCACATCTCAACATTGATGAAGATGATCTTGATGCGCTGGATGAAATGGAGGAGGACGGTGAAGAGAATCAACGAACAAGGCAAAAGCGTGAACCCAAGCTCAAGTATATGGCAATACTCCAGGAGGTCGCAGATCGAGTCAGGAACCATATTGTCATAGAATTAGACGATTTGGATAAAGTACGTTACCGGAATGGACGTTTATCGCCCTCGTTTTGAGCCTGGAAGGCTAATGAATAACTCCCGTTAGTTCCTGAAATCGGCCCCCGAGGGGCCACACTCAAATCTTGCAGAGAGAATTACAAACAATGCAAAACGTTATATTGATGTGATTTCGGAAGCAGTTGACGAAATAATGCCCAAAGAGAGCGCAGAAGTAACGTGAGTGCACAGATGACAGTATCAAAACCCAAAGGGCGGGGCTAACACGGTTCATCCATTCTCTCAGCTTTAAGGATGATGTAATTGATGTTATCGTTTCCCAACGTGGACGAAGGAATGAGGCCATGAATATGGCTCTAGAAGCAGACATAGATGTTGGCATGCAGCCGTCTACGTTCCCACTCGAACTGACCAGACGATATACACTCAATATCAAACCCATCACCCCATCTGGATCGAGTAGCAATCTGAACCCCAAAGCCTTTGCCGTTCGAGATGTCCGTGGAGCTCATCTTGGAAAATTAATCACAGTCAGGGGTATTACCACCCGAGTTTCGGATGTTAAGCCATCTGTCACGATCAATGCGTATACCTGCGATCGCTGTGGATCAGAAGTATTCCAGCCGATTACCACAAAACAGTTCCTTCCGCTAACTGAATGTTTATCGGATGAATGTACAAAGAACAATACCAAGGGACAACTCTTTCTGTCTACTCGGGCGTCGAAGTTTGTTCCATTCCAGGAGGCCAAGATACAAGAGATGGCAGATCAAGTACCTATCGGACATATCCCTCGCACACTGACGGTACATCTGCTGGGCAGCTTAGCCCGACAATTGAACCCTGGGGACAATGTTGATATTGCCGGAATTTTTCTTCCCACGCCTTATACTGGCTTCCGAGCTATTAAAGCCGGTCTACTAACAGATACATACCTTGAAGCCCAGCATATAACCCAGCATAAAAAGGCATATGATCATCTTGTCATGGACCCAGGAACGCTGAGAAAGATCACTAGACATGCAAACTCAGGAAACATGTATGAGTATCTGTCACGATCGATTGCACCAGAGATTTACGGACACCTTGATGTTAAGAAGGCTCTGCTACTTCTCTTGATTGGTGGTGTCACAAAGGAGATGGGGGATGGAATGCGTATCCGTGGTGACATCAACATCTGCTTGATGGGTGACCCTGGTGTTGCAAAATCCCAGCTTCTCAAATACATCACCAAGGTAGCTCCTCGCGCCATCTACACCACTGGACGTGGAAGCAGTGGAGTTGGTCTGACAGCAGCAGTGATGCGAGATCCTGTTACAGATGAGATGGTCCTCGAAGGCGGTGCACTTGTCCTTGCAGACAATGGTATCTGCTGTATTGATGAGTTTGATAAAATGGACGACGGAGACAGGACTGCTATCCACGAAGTCATGGAACAGCAGACAATCTCGATTTCCAAAGCCGGAATTTCAACGACACTCAACGCCCGCACCTCTATTCTTGCAGCAGCCAATCCGCTGTATGGAAGATATAACCCTCGAATTTCACCTGTCGAAAACATCAATCTCCCTGCTGCACTTCTCTCTCGTTTCGATATTCTCTTCCTTATGCTTGATACTCCCTCCCGCGATTCCGACGAAGAACTCGCTAACCATGTTGCCTACGTCCACATGCACAACAAGCACCCTGAAGCTAGTGCCGATGAGGTTGTTTTCACTCCCGGAGAAGTACGGCAGTACATCGCTAAAGCACGAACATACCGGCCCGTGGTACCGAAGAGTGTCTCGGAATACATGGTAGGTGCATATGTCCGTATGCGCAAACAACAAAAACTAGAAGAAGGAAGCAAAAAACAATTCACTCATGTCACGCCACGAACATTACTTGGTGTTCTTCGTCTCTCCCAAGCCCTTGCCCGGCTCCGCTTCAGTGAGCGTGTTGTGACGGAGGACATCGACGAGGCCCTCCGATTAATCGAAGTCAGTAAGTCCAGCTTACACCAGGACTCGCAATCTGGGGTGGATCACAGTCCTACAAGCAAGATTTATAATCTCATCTGCGCAATGAGGGAGAGCGGTGCGGCTGCTATTGGCGATGAAGATGAAGGAACACTCAGCATGAAGAGGATCCGGGAACGAGTTGTTGCGAAAGGATTCACGGATGATCAACTCAGCCAGGCAATTGACGAATACGCGGAGCTCAGTGTATGTTTATTCTTTCTCCTCCGGCACATATATGTACCTTCACTCCTTTCTGTAACATGGATGCACTTTGCTAACTGGTATACTTTCTACAGGTCTGGCAAGTCAGTGGAAACGGCACTCGGCTCGTTTTCATCGAAGCTGGAGGCGATGCAATGGATTTGTAGGATTTTAATTAATTTTTTCACGAATTGCAAAACAAAGAGCGTATGGTTAGATCAACCTAGTCCTTTAATAAGCCTTTGTTTTCTTCTCTTAATCGCATCCTAACTAAACTCCTCGCTCCCCGATGAAGCAGTAAAATGGTGCTTTACAATGCAACGTCCCGGGATCATGGGTTCCTCTGCAAGATCCTTTATAGCAGCAGCTACCTGAATGCTTAGTGTATGGGTATGTCTTACAACACCCGCAGTACACTGTCGTTTGTCAATGGCTCTGGATACGAGGCTCCCATCTAGTTGCTCTACACACCTTGGGGCGGTCAAGTAGCGCCGACAATCACAATCACACATCGCAGGAGCTAGCTGAGGATTAATCCCTAGCGATAGGCCGAGCGCTGCCTCTATTCATAGAAATATCAACACCACATATACCATGGGTGCCTGTGCTGTTCTGGGAACAGGGTTGGTTACCCCGGAATCGATGCACGCTAAGGCTGAACTAGTTTTCGCTTCGATGACTTCATCGACCCAACTTAGTTTTCGCTGTCAAGTAGTTCAACGTCCGCAAGCGAGATGTCTCAGCTTAGCGACGTTTTCTCGTAGCCATGAGAGGCTGCACCCTACGAAACAGGACGAATGAGCAGAAGACGACGCTGGTAGGCTTGCCGCTAGCATCCGAACAGACGAAAAGGCGTTTGCAGGACTCGGGTCAACCATTCAGATACCCCCAGCTATGACCGAGAAAAGCATTCTTTCTAGGAGAACAAAGCCACAGCTTCGTATTATTTGAACTCTCCGGACTGGTAGCCAACTAGATCTAATATAGCTACCATGGCTATACGGTATTAGATGGAAATGTTGTTCCAACATACTCTCGCCTTCGGGTATGCATTACCATGCTTAAGCCAAAACTTCGGAACGTTTGCTGGCACCAATGATAGGATGCGTTTACCGTTGGATGGCCCGCATTCTAGATCACCACATAAACGTGCTATTCTCATGTGGAGCGCATGTATCCTCTTTTGCATTGCTCTCTGTGACGCAGGACCCAATGTTTCTCAGGTATCACAACCCTGGGAGACTGCTGGCCGAGACGAAGGATGGAAGCCAGGTGATTTTGAGCCTCTTAAGTCAATTCACAACACTACGCCTTTGACATTCCATTTGAGATGAATAACACAGTTTGACCTTTGTTGGTCATATTCAGCTTCTGAATACCTATACGATGATATCACACTCAACCTGATCGCCCAAAGGCGAAAATCTGCGGTGAATTCGGTTGTGCAGGATATATAGCGCTGAGCATCAGGAGATTTTATCCTAATTGTGGTTCACTGAGCTATAAGCCTTATCAACTATTCTTCTTTAGTGCAACAGCTTGGTAAGATATTCCTTGAGAGCTTGGCTAATGCCATATTATCTAGTGTTTCTAATAATAGTTTCACCAAAGCACCTTTGGGTTAATCATTTACCGCTGTTAGCTCTCAAGCCTACGAAGGAGCAATTCCTTTTTACAGCTGCATCCTGTTCCATATTCCTGCAAGTACTGAAAATGTGAGATCATTTCCGTATTTGGAGCCGAATATGATTCAGATCCAGGCAGCCGTACAGAATATTGGTTATACGAATCTGTGTGCTTCCTCAATTGAAGAAACATTAGGCACATTCGGGACACTGCCTCGCCCTGACATTTCAGCAGCCACTTGAGGTAAACTCTACCGAGCCGGCCAGGCATCACCATCCGCTCTTGGGCTCCGCAGGGTAGCATTATGGGGCAAATAGCTGTTGCTGAAGTGAGACAATTCCCATTGCCTATCCTGGATCTCTCATGGGGCTGAGCAAAAAGGCGCTCATGGGGGGATATAAAAGGGAGCATTGAGCTCCTCATTCATGAAAAATATCATCCAACACACAAGCAACAAACACATCGAAGCAACAGAGCTAAACAAACCCTCAACCAATCAACCAAACATATAATCAAGCAATCTTTCAAGATGCAGTTCAACCTTTTGACCACCGCCTCCATTCTGTTGGCCAGCACCTCTCTCCTGGCTGCAGCCCTCCCACAGAGTCTTGCCAACCGCAACTCTCGCCCAGTCTGCGGCACTTGCAACCCCATCTCCGGCAAGAACTTCTGCGACGTCACCACCTCTTGCATTAACACTGGATCTACTTTCCACTGCGCCTGCCGTGCTGGCTACAAGGCGAGCCCCCGCAACAACGACGTCAACAAGCAGTTCCGTCTGCCATTCAAGAACTACGAGTTCCTCGTTTTCGTGCCAGAGAACACCGCTTGCAACACCCTTTGCAACGACTGGACCCTTCCACCACCAGCTTTGTGCTCTGAAGTTCCACTTTACGCACAGTGCACCGCATAAATTGCTATTATAGCAGCACTATCCGAAGCCGTCTCTGGATGAGAGGCGGTTAATGAGATGGATTCGAAGCAAGTTAGCGACCTAGAAAGGAGGGGCCTGATTAGGAGTAATTGCCTTGATGCGACTGGACGATCAGATGATATTTATTATGTTTATAGTTGAACGTTACATTCCTTAGCCAGAGAGTAATACATTGCAAATATCAATATTGACCTGTTGTTTGTACGTAATAGATAAAACGACTTTATCAAGTAATGAAGGCTTCAGCTTTTGAAAATCTTAATTATTTAACCCAGGGGCTAAGGATCTCTACATAGGAAAGTAACAAAAGGACAATCGAAAATGCAGCAATAACTATAAAATTACAAGCTTAGATAAAGAGTTAGGTATATAATAGGGAGAATCTATATAACATGTATGTAAATAAGGGATCAAACGCTAATATGATAAAAAAAAATGCGAAATATCAACCCTATCCTCTGGATACCTTGCCGGCAGTTTTGTACCATTTTTATCTAACCCATAGCCTCTCCGTTGCGCCAGAAGCCCTGTCATCTCATCGAGGGATGCTTGCGATTGCCCCTAGAAGTATATAACTTGGAGTGTCTCCCGGATCACAAACTCGAAGAATCTTCGGTTCAGACCAACCACAAACGGAGCAGCCGCAGTAAATACAAGCGCCATGCTTCGGTGAATTATTTGGGAAAACGTTCAAGCAGTGGTTGCATGTAAACATAGTCCAAATATTCATCTCTGCGAATTTTATGCGCCAGTTCTCCTGCGCCCAATGTGTAGGCTCATGATAATATTTGGCCTCTTTGATCTCTCTATCATGTTTGTACCGGCGAACCCGGGCCTGGTAAACCATCGCCATGTCCGCAATCTCCTCATACCACGACGCTGGCAAATAGTTCCTGAGACAATTGATCCTGAGAGGAAGTAAATTGTTTACCAACCCGGGTATGCAGCCTTTGACATATGTTTCCAGGGTTAAACGGTGGCTATTTGTCAGGACCTGCAGTGCTCGATCGCGAGGATTGACTGAGCGAAATAATTTGAGCGAACGAGGGCCTTTTTCAATTGGCGGATGAAATGGACAGTGTATATTCTTGCCCATTTTGGAGAAGTAATCGCAGAAAAAGCACTTTTTTTTGTTATCCACGGCTTTTTTAACATTTAGCCTACTTCTCGTCCGGCATAGGAACCTGCTGCTATGGCCAAAGTATGGGATGAGGGAAGAGTCGTACAGGAGACGCATGGCCCGCATTCGTGCGCGAGGACAAGCAATAGGGTGATGGCCCTTCATGGGTATAGAGTGGTGGAATGCCCTGCATGTAAGCCAGAGCATTGTGCGTTCAACAGGGCTCAGCTGATCGGCGATGAGAAAAACAACATCTAGGGGTAGTGAGACCATTGAATGTTTTCTTTCTTGATAGGTGACCATGGAGCATCTGAGACGCCCTAGTTCGGGTAAAATACACCGTATGAGGCTCTGTTCTGGAGGACCCTTTGCCGGCGAACTTTCCACAGAGGTGTATTCCATTGCGGCGGCGGAAATGGTCGGAATAAAAACAGAATAAGAGATGGATATGACGCCGATGCGTGTATTTTGGTAATATTTTATGAAGGAATGGGATAGAGAAGTCCTAGGAATGAATAGTGGACGCTTGAGTGGTGATAATAGTAGACTGTTTATCGCAAGAGCCACTGAAGGCAAAAATTGACTGAGCAGGCGTAATCATCGGAAAGGAAAGCAGACAAAAAATAGGCTATCTTCCTAATATCGGAAGCTGACGAGCGTAGAAAGTAAACTTGCGTTAAAAAACGAGATGAAAGCAAAAAAGCATTAAAGAAGGCGGAAAAAGCCTCTTATATATACAGATGACGGTATCCGGATCCGGTGGAATGTAAGCCAGGTAGATGACAGCTAAAAAGCCGGTCAAAGCCGTGGATTCCATCCACGATTCAGGAGATTGGTAGAGCCTTCGAATATTGTTTACTGCATAGCAGATATGAGATAAACCGGGGAAATCGCCAGTTTGGCCACTGGTTCGGATACACTCGCAATGTAACGCCATAGGGGTAAGGAGCGCTCATAGGAGCAGTTAATGCAATACCTAGGAGTTTCTTAGGTATATAAGATTAAGCCATAGACCCGTTAATGGCTACCATGGTTGGCATCACCATATGCAACGGCAGCAGCGGATCAAGTTGTACTTAGCACTTGACAAGGTTCCATGGCGCCATATCCAACATTCCCGCTCGCTCATATCTATATGCTCTTGATATAGACACGAGGACGAGCATGTCGACTCGATGTTGTTAATGTTGAAGTTGATATGAAAGTTGATAATTTGACCAGCAGAGAAAAAGGAATAACGGATAATAGTTTTCCCGTTTAACATTTAAAGTGATTAGTCATAAAACCTTCTTGCAGTTTTAACTTTCTAACATCTGAAGGACTGAATGAATCACGAAATCCATGATGTCCTCGTACTGGAGGAGGGAGTGATGCTGCTTTTTGTTGATTTCTAGTGTATTCCGTGTCCCTTTTCTTCCACAATGCTTTCCAGGAAACCTGGTCACCAGGGGCATTTCAATCGTCTTTTCATGCAGGCTGTACGGAAAATGGCGACGCAGAAGAAGGGTAATCTTCAAGCTGCATTGTGTACTTATACACTAACTTGCAGTAGATTGGAACTCGATTGATCATTTTTTCAACTACACTCGGGGGCGTTTCGTTGTCAACGAGGTCGAGGAAATGCAACAGCGATATGTTCGCTTTGATATGAATGAACTTGCTCGATTGGCTGCAAATGCTGTAGGGGCAAAAGAGGTCATCAATATCGAAAAATGTGCCGAAGGCCTATTCAACAAAGCTTTTTTGTTCACCTTTGAGGATGGGAGACAAGCGGTTGGCAAAGTCCCTAATCCAGTTGCCATCACACCGCATCTCACAACTGCTAGCGAGGTTGCAACAATGGAGTTTGTATGTCCTCGAGCGAAATTGTATAGTTTGATTGTTCTGCTGACGTGGTTTTCGCCCATTTTCTCTCTCTTTGTCGAATAGATGAGAACTGTACTCCAGACACCAACCCCGCGAGTCTATGCGTGGAGCTCAAAGGCTGATGATAGCAATACCGTGGGAGTGGAATTTATCATTATGGAGAAGATTGTAGGTATTCCTTTGGGAAAAGCCTGGGAACATCTTTCAGGCAGTGACAAGATGAAACTTCTCATTAATATCTTCAGGTATCAGAATCAATGGACGTCTGTTGCATTCTCACGATTTGGAAGTCTGTACTATGCAAGAGATGTAGAAACTCTGCCCGCGGATTGTCTATATATGGACAAGAGAGGGAATAAAGTCCAAAATCCCAGATTTGTCGTGGGACCGGCTTCTCATGATGAGTGGTTTTTACATGGGCGGGGTGCTCTTCGCTGTGATCGAGGCCCTTGTAAGCTATCCCATTAGCTGCTCGACTTACCATATGGCTTATCGGTTTAAAACAGGGAATACGGTTATGGAATATAGAAAGGCAATTGCCAATCGTGAGATCCAAGCCGCTCGATCGTTGCAGTTCCCCAGGCAGACACTACTAATATACGGACCACGCCCACTCTATTTGCCTACCGTCGAGAAAAAGGTGAAGGCATTAGAGTCTTCTTTGAAATCCTTAGAAGTTTTCCTACCGAATGACCCAGCTCTGCTGAAAGCCCATCTCTGGCACACTGACTTTCACCACGAGAACATATATGTGAACCCGGAGAAACCTACCGAAATAACTGGAATTATCGACTGGCAATCTACCCCTATTACACCACTGTTTGACCAGCCTTTAGACCTTCCATTTGTGAACTATGATGGCCCAGATGTTGGCGACAACCTTGAAATCCCTGTATTGCCTGATAATTTTCAATTGCTACAAAGCACTGAGAAAAAGGCAGTACACAAGGATTACATGGATAAGTCTGCGGTGGTTGCATGGCGCCTTCTATTAAAACACAAGAACCCGGGTTATTATAATGCCGTCCTGTTTAAACACACTGCTATTGGTCTATCTCTTGACTTGTCTCGTCAAATTTTTACAATTGGAGAGTCCTCTCTCCTCACTATATATTCACAGATGGGAGAAGACTGGCAGGAATACGCCCCCAAAGGTCCAGATGCAAACCATGTCCCATTCCCTCTGAACTTTTCGCCGGCCGACATTGCAGAAATCGACGATGATGAAGAAGCGACCAGTCGCAGCACGAGAATTGCAACGCAGATAAAAGAGCATCTGGGGCCATTATATCCGTACAAAGGCGTCATCGAACATGAAAACTACGAAGAAGTCAAGAAGATCCTCGAAGAAATCAAAGAGGAGGTGATTGAGCATCTTTACACGGCTGCAGACGACATTCGAATTTTTGCCCATCAGTGGCCATACAGGGATTAGACGCTTGGTGATCGGACAGGGATCGTTAGTTGCATGAACGCCCAAAATTTGGACCAAATACCACTCCGTATTGTCTAAAGCGATGGATTAGCGAGCAAGAACGCCCATACCCTCTGGAACGCTGACTCCTTGACGTCGTGAGAGACTGAAGAGCGGATAAAGTCATGCTCAAGGTTGACGGGTAGCTAATACCAGGTACCAGATCGTCGGAAACTCCTCGGCCGCGGTGGGGCTTCTCTATACATAGAAGTACCAGATTTTGGGTGTGGGGCTTTTTCTAAACTATAGGAGGGCCTCGGCTAGAGGATCCTTGTCCGATGTTTACATACATACTCCATAGTAGTAGATCCTTTCGATTTCTTTCTTTTTCTTCTCTCCTTTTTTTTTTTTTTTGAAAGAAATCGGCGGGAAAGAAGATTTGAGATGTATGTGATTTACTATCCTGCAAAGTAGAGGGATTCGAAGAAAGACGATTGTCCTACACATCTGCATAACAGTCGACATGATGGTCACACACGCCCAAAAACCCTGGGGATACCGATGGCGGTCGTCCAAGACGTTTATCCTCTCTATCGTATTTCTGGCCTTGTTTGCGGGTACGTGCTACCCGTTCATCCCAAAGGCTTTGCTTTCCCGCCTTTAGTTTCCAGCTTTCTAACATCGTTTCCGTGCAGACACCTTTCTCTATGGCTTCTTGGTTCCGATTTTGAGCTACATGCTCGAAGTCCGGTTAAAAATCGACCCGTCTCAAACGCAGAGCCTCACCTCTTCTCTACTCGCTATCCACGGTTTTATGACCCTCGTTGCAGCGCCCATCATCGCCCATTTTGCAGACAAGACGTCCAATAGGAGGATACCGCTGTTGATAGCTCTGGTAGCATGCGCTGCAGGGACCGTTCTCGTTGCTTGTACCCCTTCTCGTAAGGCTCTGGACTCATCCGCCTTTCAAGACATTGCAGGTTTATTGGGGAAAACGCTAACTTGACAAATGCAGTCTGGGCCCTTTTTGTAGGGAGGCTCCTGCAAGGGGTAGCTGGGAGTGCCACATGGATTGTTGGATTTGCAACGATGGTGGATAATGTTGGAATGGACCATATAGGCAAGACAATGGGGCTGTCCATGACTTTCGTGATGACCGGCGTCATCGGTGGCCCAGTGATCGCTGGATCTCTTCTGCAACTAGTTGGATACTGGGCTACTTGGTCCGTTCCGTTGATCATAATCTCGTCGATATTATCGCCCGTCTGCTTATGATCGAA